CAAACAGCAAGACTGCAAATAGTTCTGTTCAACTGTCCAATAAAAGCTTAGTAGCATGATTGTAAATCTTATAAACTTAAACATACAAGCAGTTATCCATATCTTCATTTATATTTAGATTAAACAAACTAAAGCAGGTTAAAATCATTCTGAACAAAGAATAATAGTATTGCTGGATTTTACATCATGACACTCCATGATCAGCACTGGGTACTGTAGTGTCTTTTTTTATTTAATTTAATTTAAAGAAACACTAAACAAAACAGAAAATGGGTAGAAATAATTTTAAAGAAAAAATAAACAGTAAGAAATCACTAGTTGATGATTACAGATTGTCTTCTTACAAATAGTTATTCAAGATACTAAAGTGGAGCATATAAAGTGGGGATTCAAACAGTGAGATTGCAACCAGTTCTGTTCAATTATCCAACAAAAACTTAGAAATATGGTTATCAATCCTATACACTTAAACATACATGCAGTTATCCATATCTTCAAATATGTTGAGATTGAATAAACCCAAGCAGGCTAATATCACTCTGAACAAAGAATAATACTATTGCTGGGTTTCACATTATGACACTCCAGGATCAGCACTGAGTATTTTAGTGTCTCTTTTTCTTCAAAGTATCTGTTCATTTCATCATGTGTCATAAGATCAGTTCTCATACACTGTTTATAGATTCTACACATGCATGAGTCTTAACCTGTATTTCTATCCTTGCTATATTTAGAGGAAGAAACAAAACAAAACAAGGCAAAACAAAACATATTCCTATAAATACATGAAACAAAATAAACATTTAAGACCATTGTACAGAGTTCTACCATGGTTCCTGTGTTATCTCTTATTGTCTCCAATAGAATTGTCTATATCATCAGACATAGTATAATTGATTATATCAGTGCATAACAGTATTAATAAAAACACAACTTTGTATATAGTATAGAACTTTAAACATGGCAGTTATCAAACCAGAATGTGTATTGAAGAGTCTTGTCATCTTCAGTGTAGTTGCCTATACTTTCAGACTTGATACTATCAATCATATCAGTTTTGAATAAAATATTCTCTGCCTCATTTCTGTTATGTTCTTCTTTTGCCATCAATTGTCTGCTTATCTTCTTCATTCTGTTTTCTGCTCCATGTATTGAGGCCTCTCTGCCACTGTTCCTGGAATGCTACTACAGTATTCTCTGTAGAGTTGGATTGGTGGTTGCGAATTTCCCAAGTTCCTCTTTGTCTTGGAAGCATCTTGTTTCTCCATTAATTTCTAGAGACAGTTTAGCAGGGTATAGCTAGGCTGGAGGTTATTTTCTTTCAGGGCTTGGAATATTTTGCTCCAGACTCTTCTTGACTTGATGGTTTGTGTCGAGAAGTCTGCTGTTATTCTGATGGGCTTTTCTCTATAGGTTATCTGTTTCTTGTCTCAAATAGCTTTTAATATTCTGTTCTTATATTGAATTTCTGGGATCTTGATTATTATATGCCTGGGTGTAGCTCTGTTTTGGTTGTAGGTGGTTGGAGTTCTGTATGCCTCATATATCAGAATATCATTTCCTTTTCCTATGTTTGGGAAGTTTTCCTTAATTATTTCTGAGAATAACCTTTGTAGTTCCTTTGTTTGTACCCCTGCTTCTTCATTCACATTCTTTATTCTCAAGTTATAGATCCTTTTGTCATCTTCTAGCCTTTGTATTGTTATTGCTTGTTTCCTATTATTCTTTTAAAATTTTCCCTTTCATACTCCCACATTGTTCTCCAGTCTGGATAATCTATCCTTAGTTTCTTTCAAGCTGATTTGCCATCTTTCCATAGAGTTTTTAATTTCCTGGTAATCTCTTTGAATCTGCTTCAGGTATTCTATATTTTTTATATTCTTCATCAAATGGTTCTTTCCTTTGTTTGAGTTACTCCCTTCTTCCATCTGTGTCTGCTTGAGGGCTGCTTAGTATCTCTTTTATTAATCTTCTTATATCTTGCTTTATTTGGCTAAATATTTCACTTTTGAACTCATCTAAGAGGTCCTGAATATATCTCTTTATGTCCACTGGTGCCCTGTCTGATATTGCATGTTTGCTGTTCTCATTCTCCTTTGTATTTACCTGTCCTGGGTCAATGTTCTCAGGGTTGGGACCTGGGGAGTTTTTGTTGTTGCTTCCTCTTCCCATCTTTTTTGCTTCTTCCAGGAGGCCCCAGTTTCTTTCTTTGTTGGTTACAGTTCTGAAGTGCACTAGCTAGATGACCCTTTGCACTACCATGTGCTAGGGGGTTGCAGACCGGGACAGCATATGCTGGCCCCTCCTCTCTGTATCAGTCAAGCTACTGTGGCCTGCACTCCCTCCAGGCATTGGCAGTGGCCTCCCTTCTGGATCAGTGGCGGCGGCAGCAGAGGCAGAGGTGGGGGCAGCCAGTGGGCACCCAGTCGCTCTGCTTCTCCAGCCTCTGATGGGCCCACGGTGACAGGTCTTGCCGGCGGCCTGGAGGTGCCAGAGGCAGCAGCGCAGGGATCAGTCAAGCTACTGTGGCGTGCACTGTATTTCTTTGCACGGCCTCCCTCCCAGTCAGTCAAGCTGCTGTGGCCTGCACTGTTAGTCAAACTTCTTGCATCTGCAGGTTTAAACCACCCCTCCTACACAGTAAGTCTAATCTCAAGGAGAAAGTCCTGCCAGTGTTCTCCTTTTTTGCTGAAGTTTCTCTCTCTGCTCTCCCTTTTAGGCTTCAATTCACCCTTTGGATCATTCCTGGGTCTTGAGGACCCATTTCCCTCCTCCTCCTCTTCCTCATGTTGCTATATGACAACGTGTGCACACCATATCTCAGAGAGGCTTTTCTCTGCTATTCACTACTTCACCTTTTTCTTGGAAGTCTAAAACTGGTTCATAGTGTTCCTGAGATAAAAATAAGCTACATGCTGAAAAGTGCCAAGTGGTCACACTTCTTTGCTTGAGGGGTCCTGGTCCCCTGGGTCCTCTGCTGTTTGTGCTGCTCTGAAGAGGTTTTGTGTGGCTTTAGCCAGGAGTCCAGGCCGAGTTGCCCTTCTGCCTTGGAGGAGGAGAGGGCTTCTAGGATCTATGCACTCAGTTTAGTGAGGCCTTTGCACTCTGAGTGGCTCTTCTAGGTCAATTTCTCTGAGCACTGACTGAGGTCTCTCTGGCACGCTTCCCTGGCTTCCCTCTGATTAGAGAATTGGTGTTGCAGGCAGGAATCAGTCCAAAACCTTATTTTAACACTTCCTATCATGAGGGATAAAAGCCACGTTTTCCACAGAATTGACTTCTCAAAGACCCTTTGTAGCTAAGACTAGTGGCACTTGCCTGTAATCCTAGCATCTGGGAGACTGAGGCAGGAAGATCACAGGTTTGAACTCAGCCTAACAACTCAGTGCCTTAGCAGAACTCTAAAATTTAAAAAAAATTTTTTTAAGGGGCAAAGGGCTTGGGTTCAATCCCTACTGTCAAAAAAAACCCTTCATGAATGTAGAAATAATTCACTTGACATTATTCACTTATAGATATTATAGCAATAAATGAAAGAAAAGATATTTTCTACATGTAAGTGCTTGGTAAAAGTTTACACATACTCAGTCTTTACAATAGTAAATTTAAAAAAATTGGAGGCTAGTTGTGGTGGTGCATGCCTGTAATCCCAGTGCTCAGGAAACCAAGGCAGGTGGATTGCTGTGAGTTTGAGGCCAGCTTGAGCTACTTAGCGAGTTTGAGGCCAGTCTCTATACTGGCCTCAAAAAAGCAAAAACAAAACAAATTGGAACTTTTGGATAAAGTTTTATGGTGTGTTTTTGACAAACTATAAATTTCAAAGCAAAAATAAGTCAGAATCAAAACTGATAACCAAGCTAGGTGAGGTGGCAAATGCCTGTAATCCCAGCACTTGGGAAACTGAGGCCAGAGGATCACTGCAAGTTCAAGGCCAGTCTGAACTACATAATGAGACTCTAACTAAAAAACAAAACAAAACCCCAAACTAAGGGGAAAAAAGAGAGCCAGAAGAAACAGTGTTTTGCAGGTAGATTCACCTTGTGCTTTGCCTCTCCCTTGCAGGCAGAGAACCATCCCTGCTGAAGACTGGCCTGGTCAGGCAGGCTGAGTCAGCATGATCTCTTTTCCAACCTGGGCTGACTAGGGACCTCATAACAGCTGCAAGATCAAGTAGCACTTGATGGATTACTGTTCACCAACTGGGGAAGATGTGCAGGGGCAGAGCAGGGGAGGGTACCCCGTAATAAATCTGTGTTGTAGTTGGTTTATAGCACAATGCCACCTCCTGGAGACCTCAGGACAAGTACTCCTGCTGACAGTGTGCAGTCCAAGTCAAGGTCAGGGGGTTGCAGCACTCCCTGACCCCTGGCTGCTGCCTTCTCTGGGCCCGTGTGGCCTTCTGCTCTGCACATGTGTGGTGGGGGTGCCTCTGTGTGTCCAAACTTTCTCTTCTTATACAACACCTGTCACACTGGCTTAGGGCTTCAGCCTGTGGCATTGAAAGACGCAATTATGTCCCAAACAGTCTGATAACAAAACTGAGAGCCAATAGTTATCCATCTACTGAGGCATGTGTCATGCTAATAGGTAGGCTATCTCATTAAAAATAAACCACTAACTTAAATTACATGACATCGAGTACAATTCTAGGTTATCGAAGTGTTCTCTTTATTCTTGATTAAAAGTTTTGCATGATTCCTTTTGTGACCCATTCCTTAGGGCTGTTTCTCTGTATCTCAGGCCAGGTCCTAGGATAGTGCCCTTTGCCCACCGAGGTTGTGGAGAGGGCAGGAAGATCAGAACCCCGTCCTCAGGGAGAACGCGGGCAGGAGGGAGCCGCGGAGCCCACTGGCCTTTTATTTTTTGTTTTGGTACCGGGAAACAAACACAAACCTTGGACTTGCCTGGCAGGACACATTAGGTTTTTCTGTCGCGGGTGACTTTAGGTGAAGTCTGTGATTGGCAGTGAGGACAGGAGAACACCACACCGACCAAGTGGCAAGGCCCCAAGTCACTACATGCTGACAAGCTGGAACCCCAGCCTCGCCATGCTGCCGGGCCAGCACCTGCCCTTGTGGGCAAAGCCAGCCTTGGAAGCACTAAAGAAAATCAGCCTCGTGGGCCCAGAGGAGCTCAGCTGTTTGGGATCAGCCGGGCCGCCGCGGATAAAGCGCGCTGTGGATAAAGGGCAACTGCACCCTTCCGTGGCCATGGAGCGGGCGCCCTGCCTGGAGCTTTATTTGGACCAGTGCGCCACCCAGGTCAGTCTGGGAGCCGCGGGCGACCCGAGCTGGGTGACTCCAGTTCCACACGCGTGTACCCAAATGGGCGCCCTGGTCCTGGTTCCCCCCTCTTGGTCCCAGCCCCGCTGTCCCCCGCTGTAGGCTCAGATGTGCCAGCGTGAGAACCCCGGTACCAGAGGACGAGGCTAGGCGGCAGGACAGTTGGAGAAACGGTCACATGGGGTTTGGGGTTGTAAGAGGCGACAAGAGGCACCTGAGGCTTCTTCCAGTTAGCTCTCAATTAGATATTGGGAATTGAACCCGTGGCTTTCACCTAGAGCCTTTTTCAACATTTTGAGACAAACAGCCAGTCTGACGCCAGATGGTCCTGATCCTGGCTCGAGAGACCCTCCTGCCTCAGCGACAAGACCGCATGCGCGGGCCCCTCGGCTGCGCAGGCTCCAGACCGTTGTCTCAAACCTTTGCGTCTCCGGTTGGAAGAAAGATCAGTGTCTTCAAAAAAGGGCCAAAGAGCCACTGTTTTTGGATGAGGGTTTGTGGTAAGGGGTGGGTCATAGGGCGCGAGGAGCAGCCTGAAATCTAGGCCACAGGACCCTGGAAGCAGGACCGAGGCTCAGGCTGGGGCACCTTTAGGCCGGGTGGGGCATGGCGTGCGCGGATCTTACAAGTGCATGCGCGTGGAGACCCTGCAGACCGCGGGTCAAGGCAGGCGAGGGCGCCACAGAGCCGCGCGCAGCGCCCTTGGTGCAGCCCCGGCGTGGCACAGGAGCGCCAGGCCTGCGCCCAGGGCGAGCGCTTGCCGAGTTGTCTGGGATGACAGCTCTGTGTTTAGCTGATGTTGATGCGAAGAGGAGAGTGACCCCGAGGACAACCCCGCCACTGAGTGAAGCTGAGGGAGCCTCTGAGGACACACTTCCAAGTTAAATCCCGTGTTTCTAAGAATTTTCTTTTGAGCAACTGGTCACCTGTCCTCTGCTGGGTTTGGAAAAGTCAAAAAACTCAGCAGAACCCGGCTGGTTGGGTTGTATAGACAGCTGAGTTCCCAGGATGCAGGTCTGGCCAGGAGGCACAGCTGAAAGGAAACAGGTGATAATGCACATAGCAAGGAGACGGTTTTTCAATGATAAAATCCAGAATTTCACTGAAGGTGCTTCCCTGGGGCGCCCCATGTCTCCACTGTGTCACCCTCTGAACCGGAAATGCTATACTTTGACTTAAACTTTTTTTTTTTTTCCCCATTTTGTGGTACCAGGGACTGAAAGTAGGGCCTTTGCACCAAGGTGCATGTCCAGCCCTTAAGAAAACATTTTTTGGTCGGGGGTTTAGCTCAGCGGCTTAAGTGCTTACTTGGTAAACATGAAGTCATGAGTTCGATCTCCCGTAACAAAGAAAAGCTTTTTTTTTTTTTTTTTTTTTTTTTTTTTAAGATGAGTTCTTGCTAAGTTTCTAAACTGCACACACTGTGCTTAAATTTGGGATTCTCTGGGCTCACCCTTTCTCCCAGACAAATACCACCACCTCTGGTGTGAACGTTTTCTTCATTTGCCTTTGTGCTGCTGGGGATTGAACCCAGAGCTTTATGCATGCTAATATGAGCACTCTACCCAAACTACTCTTAACATTTAAATTTAATTACTTTCTTCCTGTCATAAATTCGTATAACTAAAATGTTTTTTTTTTCAATCTCTCCTTTGACTGGAAAAAAAAAACGATGCAGGATCACTTTAAATATTAGCATTCAAGACTGAATCTTAATTTCACATATTTTTTTCTTCTAAAATGTGAATGTAGGGTTGGGGATTGTGCAAGGCCCTGAGTTTGATTCTCAGTACCAATAAATAAATAAATAAAAGAAATGTAAAAATTATTTAAATAAATCAATTGAATTTATAATTATGTAACAGTGAATTGCCTTTTACAAAATTGAATTAAGTGGCGAGTTATTAGGGATGTCATGCAAGTAGGAAAAGCATTTTGTGACACATGTCTTCTCTACATTTAAAAACACACTTTTCCGGTTTCTATGCAATGTGCCATAACACTAATGATTCTCATGGGACTTCGTAGGAAGCGGTAAGGTATGAACATGAGCAACCTCGAGCTGGCTCTGCCTTAATGCACTGTGTGCCACCAGCATGGTATCCGTTTGGTGTAACACTATTTTGTTGTTGTTGTTGTCATTTTTGTTGTTTGTCTCTTCGGGGACCTGCATAGGATGGCCTTGTCCCAGCCTTGTCTCCTCTGTTCAGCCCATTTGTGCCCTATGATGTGTATACACCTAATCCATCCAATCCAGAGATGACTTTGGAGTCGCATCTTGAAGAAATCAAAGAAACATCTGATGATTTCTCCTCTGTGGATCTTATCTTCCTGCCAGATGAACTGACTCAAGAAAATAGAAACCACACTGTCATTAAAAGCCAGCATGAAACTGAAGAAAATAGCAGAACTCAAAATCATCAAAATAAATTGCCATTACTTAGCAAACAGGATGTTGAGCTGGGCTTTCAAGGCAGCAGTTTATCAAATCCCCAAGCACACCTGTGCCCGGGTCCCGCTGACTCTGCCCTGCCCTCACCTGAAAACCCAAGCCCCCACACCTTGCCACTGTCCATCGCCCCCATGACACCAGTGGCCCCAGCCTCGGAGTGCTCCGGCATTGTGCCTCAGCTGCAGTGAGTGTCTGTCCTTGACTCGGCCCCCTTTAATTATCTATGTTTGCACTGCATTGTCTTTAAATTGAGGGGTGCACATTTTATATTCCTGAATGTGATGATGACTAATTTCAGTGTAATCATGTAAAGAGAATTTCTGAATTCATTATTTTCGGTTCTTAATGGGTTATCATTTTATAAGTGTGCTTATTTATAAAATGAAGCACAAATTCTTGAACCTTTAAGAGAGTGAGGAATCAATAGAACATTCTGAAGAGTTACTTGTTTATACTACATCACTGCAGTTGCTGAAAATTGTTGTTAGGGTTGGGTAAACACAAAAGATGTAAAGAGATAAAATGGAATTTGATTTGCAGCTTGATTAAGAATTGTGTTTCTATTTTGAGGCATAGTTTTTTTTTAATTTAAAACTTAATTTTGGTCATGAAATTAAAAACAACTGTTTTGTCATTGGGATTTCACACCTTACCTAAGACCATGTTACTCTGTGGTTTTTTTTCTTTTTTTCTTTTCATTTCTTTTCTTCTTTTTTTTACTTTTTACATACACAGCAGGAAGTAGAAGTTACTCTGTGTTTCACACTGAGAAGAATGCTCCCTCCAGAAAGTGGCTAGGGTATAACCCATGAAATAAGGGAGCTAAGAGGTTTCTGTCTTTTTAAATTCTATCCTGTGTAGTTTTCTAAATATATTTATTCCTTCAGGAATATAGTTTCCACTGTGAACCTGGCCTGTAAATTGGATCTGAAGAAAATAGCTTTGCACGCCAAAAATGCAGAATATAACCCGAAGGTAGGACTTTTCAGTATCTTTTCAACAATTCACTTTTCTTTAAATTTACTTCCCATGATTACGATATTGATTCATTCTTTTTTTTCTTTAAAAAATTTTTAGTGAAATGTTTTGACAATATAAAAGTTTAACTACTTTCTGTTTTGAAGTTATAAGAAATAATTTCATTTGTGCCAAATTAATCAGTATTTTAGTAGTTTTTAAAATTAAGTTTTTTTTTTAAAAAGCTGTATATCAACTGACAAATGGATAAAGAACATGTGAGGTTTTTTTTTAATACAATGGAGTACTACCCTGCTATAAAAAAGGATAAGTTGGAGACATTTTTAGCTAACCAGATACATCCTGAGGCCATTTCTCAAGTGAAATAAATCAGACACACGTGTAAACACCACATTGTTTCTCTGATGTGAGAAACTGAAAGTTTAAATGGGGAATCAAAATGTATAATAGATATTGTGAAATAGAAAATGTTCAAAAGGGGAGCTGGGTTGGGGGAAAAAGAATAAAAATGATGAGGAAAGAGAGAACAAATGGAAACAAAACCTTTGTAAAGGATGGGAAGAGGGGTTGAAGGGAGGGGAGGAGAGTACAAGTTCCCTATAATGAGTGTAATCATTTGTATACCTTATGTGTACCCCTAAACTTAATTTTTTTTAAAACAGCTGGACATGGTGGCATACACCCGTAATCCCAGCACTCATGAAGCTGAGTTAGGAGGATCACTACAAGTTTGAGGTCATTTTGTGTTGTGCAATGAAGTCAGGACCAGCCTGACCCTGTCTCAAAAATCCAAAAAATAAATAATAAAATTAAGATTTTTCCTAGTGAAGATCTTCCAGTATGACTACTTTTTAGCATATTGAGTCCCTGGCTTTCTTAAAATGCCATCATCTTGCTGAAACTACTTGTTTCTAAATGTTGTCTCACCTAGTTGACACTTTTTGCAAATTGTCTTAATTGAGAAACCTAAATTGTTTAAATTGTAATTGCTAAGGTAAGATCAGGGTTTTTTTTTTTCCTCCACAAAGTTTGATAAGATGTAGTCTTCGTGTCTTGCGAGGGATTTGTTAAATCAGTTACTATGTAGTGATTTGTCAGGACTCAAGCTGGGGTGCAAAGGTGAGCATGGCCCAGTCCTTTGGGAGATGTTCACTGGCTTAGTGCAGGTTGGGAAGCACTTCCAGGATCATAGTTGTAGGAATCTTGGCATCAACTCCTTTTGGATTAAGAATTTGTTTTCACTGTTTCGGTGGTATTGACACTGACATCTAAATTTAAAGTCTCTCAAACAATATAGCTTTCCTTTTTTACACAGTTCATATTTCTGGCTGTGAGAAGGACAGAAACACAGTAATGAGCTAGAAGTCTTACGGTGGCAGCAATGGTTGGTCACTGTGTTGAGCGACCAGCATCTCAAGCATATTCTCCATTACCCTGAGCCTGCATTTCATTTGCCTTTCCTTAGTGTGTCTGTGGGGGCCACAGGTTCTGAGCTTGTGCTTAACACTCAGAGGAATTCTGGCATGGCATCTAAGCTGCTTTAAGAATTTAACAAAATGAGTATCAGGTGAGGTTATCTTTTAGTACATTCTTGTAAAACATTAATAGAACATGGTCAGCTCTGTGTAGTGCTGATTCAGGATCCTGTATCTGATTATATTTTAATCTGAAATTGCTGTTTAACCATAAAGTGATCCATGATTTTGTGAAGTAGCACAGAACAATTGTCTGTTCTTACATAGTACCCATTCCAGTTCCATTCCCAGCTGGTTGCAGGGAGGAGACCTAGTGAAGAATGTCTTTGACAGACAGTGAGGAGCGCTGGGTCATTTAATGACTTCAGTGTGGTGGACCGGTGGTGCTCAGCACTCAGGTCCTGCAGCAGCACCTGGAAGGCTTGCTCTGCTGCTGGGCTGGGGACCACACTTTGAGAATTACTGTGCAAAGCACTTGACAGAGCAGCTTTCCCCTTCATCTTCAGCATGCCTGTCACTGTATGCACTGTGTTCTGAGGTTTTTTTCTTTTTTTTGTCTTTTTCATTTTTATCGGTACCAGGGATCGAACTCACGACCACCTGCTTGCAAGGCAGGTGCTTATGCCGCTGAGCTAAATCCCCAGCCCCTCTGTTCTGAGTTTTGTTTGCTACTTTCTAGAGTCTTGAGAGTTCTCTAAAAGGAAGCCCAACGATGCAACAGTCTGAATAGTTGGGGTTTTGTGTCCTGACTTTACCATTTCTTGTGTAATGTTAGAGGTTAAATAACTACTTAACTTTATGTACACTAAGAAGGGATAACTCAAATTATCCTCCCAAGAGGATAAATGAGAAAAAAACCCAGCAAAGTTCTTAGGACAGGATCTGCACCATAGAGGCCAGGGATATAGCTCAGCAGCATGAGTGCCTGCCTGGCAAGTACAATCTCTGGTTCGATCTCTGGTACCAAAAAAAAAAATCTGCAGCATAATACATACTCAAATTTTAGCTGTTAAAATTATTTTTACTTACACTTTCAGACATGGTGCTTCTACTGTGGAGTAGGTGATGGGACCTGGGGATTCATTATGCTATTCTCTTGACTTCTGTATGTTCCACATTTTTTATAATAAACACTAAAAATAAAAAATTGCTTTTACTTGTTATTAAAATTATACTTTAGAACCATAATCATTTCCATTAACATGGAGAGAATAGATGCAGACACTTGTTGGCTTTCTTATCCAATCTCAGCTTCTTCAGACTGTCTTCCTGTTCAGCCTGGCTTTTCAGATGGATCAGTGTTAATTCCTAACAGAGGCTGGTTCTCTCTGAGCTTCTGCATTGTTTCCCTCTTGGTGTCCTTGCATAGAGGTTTGCTGCTGTCATCATGAGGATCCGAGAGCCCAGAACTACAGCCCTCATCTTCAGTTCTGGGAAAATGGTCTGCACGGGAGCCAAAAGGTATGGAGGAGCACCCAGACTTTACCAGACAAGCATTCACTGTGAAAGCAAAGAAAATGGCATCATTATTTGAAAGCATAGAGTAGAAACAATAGCTTCATGAAATGCCAATTTGTGAGTTAAAATCACTCAATCTTATAATAATGAGTTATATACCCCATACCTTACAGCTCTTTTGTTAAACCAAGGAGAGGTACCTGGGCTATTATAACTTTTTAAGGTGAATTACAATTTTAAAAAACCTTCCATAATAACAAAGCATGTTATAACTTTGAGAAGTTGTAGAATAAAAGCACATTGTAAGTGAAAAAATTGTTACTGTGGGTTTTCCTCTTTGCGGATCTGTGGATAGAACTTCCTGCGTCTGGGCCCAGGAGGAATCTTTGAAAAGACTGTCTTTCCTGTATCTCCTGCAAGGCTGAGGCCCAGCGCTGCATCTTGTTCTCACACCACCAAGCACACAGGAGAGCTGCTCTCCTTATCAGTGTCAGAAATGAGTAGCGAGCCATCTGGCTGAAGGTTGTGCCAGTTTATCCTCAGCTGTGCACCGGTGCACTGGATTCATTTTCTTCTATGAACACTGGCTGGTTTCATCATTTATAGTCTGCCATGTAATTCTAGCATTCTGGGAGGCTGAGGCAAGTTCAAGCCCAATTTTTCAAAGTTATAACAAGTTGAAGATTGTGTCTCATAGTAAAAACTTACAGAACTACTAGGGTTGTAGCTTAGTGCAAAAGCCCTGAGTTTGACACCTAGTATAAAAAAAAGAAACAAAAACCCAACAACACATTTATATTTGGCAATTTGATTGACAGTTTATGTTGTTTTAATTTACATTGCCTTAATTACCAGTGAGATTTATGTATCTGTTCATATGCAAATTTTGCTTACTATGTCTTTTGCCCAGTATTCTATGGAGATACTTGTATTTCGTTAGTAACTTTTTTTAGACAGTCTTGCTATGTAATTCAGACTGGCCCATTAACTGACTCTGAAGCCCAGGCTGACCTCAAACTTGCAGCAATCTTCCTGCATCAGCCTCCTAAGTGCTGGGATTACAGGCATGTGCCACCATACCTGACTGTTAGTAACTTTTCACATTTAATATTCATTTTTATCTCAGCACTGAGGAATGAACATAAGTCCTTTGCACTGAGTTACATTCCCAGCCTTATTTATTATATTGAGACAAAGTCTTGCTAGGTCACTAAGTTGTAGCTCAAACTCATGACCCTTCTGCCTCAGCCTTACTGGAACTATAGTTATATGCCACCATACCCAGTGCATTTAAGTTTTATAATTTTATGCTGTAAATATTCCTGTGGCTTACTATTTATTGTTTTGTAATGACTCTGTTTAAAACATAAATTTTTGGTTATATAGTCAATATATATGATTTTTTTCTTCATGGTTTCTACATCTGATTTATGCTTAGGAAGATATTTCCCTTGCATAACTTATATAGATATTGACTTCTAGATGTTTTCCTGGTCTTTTTCAGATTCTCCTTTGTATTGAGGAAAGAATAGTTGGTGTTTTGATTCATCTAGTGCATGCTCTGGAGGGTGGAAATGTTCTATATCTATGCTGACTCACAGGATGCCATGAATACTAATGAGCACTACAAATACAGCAAACACAACCTAGGGACTGAAAATTTAATTTCCCTTAAATTTTAATTTAATTCAAACTAATTGGATAGAGCAAGTCTAGAATTTTACTTCAGTGTAACACAAATGAATTGTTTTCAAGCCAAAGTCATTGCCTAGTGCCTTTATAGAAGAATCTGTTCTGATCCTATCCCCACCTGCCCACACAGTTGTTACATATCAAATTATTTAAATGTATCTGAACAGATTTCTTGGCTTTCTCTTTTGATCCTTAATCCAAGAAATCTCTGTTTTAAGTGATTATTAGATAGTTGTGCAAGATATGTGCAAGGATATTCATTTCAGCATTGTTTAAAATTAGGGAAAACCAAATTAAATATCCAGCCATAGGGTTTTGATTTTTAAGCCATAAAGTAAAAATTATATCAGCTGTGTATACATGTAAACTAAGTTGGAACAATGTTCACAATATGTAAAGTTGGATTAGTTGTGCAACAGGTAGCTAAATTGTAGATTTATTATTTAACTTTCACTGTAAAATATGCTTATATTATACATATACATTCATGAGTATATTTTCCTACTTGAATTTTGTTCCTGCAAACCAATTGTAAAAGCTTACATACTGAGTTTATATAAGTATAGATATCTGTTATCTAAATCTGTTTGGCTCTTGAGTTTGGATAGTTAGTTGTGAGAATGTAGTTAGTAAAAGAGATAACCAGTATTATTGCTAAAAGCTTAACTAAACTTAGTCCTCATAGCAAAAGTGAAGACTGTTGTGATTGCTTAGGAAAAGTGCAATATCCTAAGTAGATATTACTGTTGCGGATGAGACTTCAAGATTTTCAATCTAATTTTCTAACATTTGTTAGATTTTGCAATCTAATTTTCTAATGTTTGAACCTGAATGTGAACTTTCATCTATTGGTTGTTTCCATAGGAACTTCTGTGTAGTCTTCACAGTTGATATCCCCCAAAACTACAGAACTATGTAAATTCTTGTAACTTGAATTGATTAACATTATGGAAAATATAATAGGCCAGTTTTTCTAAATGGAAGCTGTTTATTGCCAGCTTGGGGATGGGGTCCTGCTAAGGACATTTAAGGAGTTAGATGTGGTGAGAGAGAAGGGAAGTACATGGGTAATAAGGGCAAGAGACTAGCAGTGTGCTGGGGAAGGTCTGGATCAGAATCACACACTTTGTGTGGTCTGGACAAGCAGGTTCAAACTGGCTTTAGACACAGGAGTTTCTGATTGATGCCCTGTTCAGGGAGACTGTGATGGTTCTGCTTCAGCCCCAGGTGTTGCCGCTGAGAGACAACCTAGCTGCTCGTGCTGTATTTTACTAGTCACAGTGGAAAGGAGCCAATGAAAATGCAACCTCATATCTCACAGTTCACATTCTCTGATGTGGATTTGGTGTTAGGATGGATAACTGCTTGAAGAACATAGCCACAAAATTAGATGTGCTTTGTCTTTATGCAGATGTGTGAGAAAATCTGAATACAACTGAGCACACTTGTTATCCCAGCTACTTGGGAGGCTGAGGCAGGAGGATTGCAAATCAAAGGCCAGCTGGGCCACTTAGAAGACTGTGTTTCAAAATAAAATGGGTTGGCGATGTAGCTCAGGGCTCCCTGGGTTCAATTTCCCATAGCATTTAAGAAAGAAGAAAAAAATTGGGGAGATTTTGATGTATTTTAAAAAATTGTTTTAACATTTGTGCCACTCAGCACATATATATCTTTCTTTGTGAAACTTTTGTGTGCATTTTTTTGTTTTTGTCTCTTCACATTAGTAGAATATTTTTTAGACAATAAATGGTTCTCCATCTTCAGTGAGCATTAGAAACATCTAGTGGGCTTGTTAACTTCTGCTTGACAGGCTCTACCCCACAGCATCTGTGGTCTGAGGTGAAGCTTGGCCTTCCTAACAGATTGCCAGATACTGCTCCTGCCTTAGAACATACATTGCCAATACTGGAACAATCCACTTTATCAACACTCATGTGAAAGCACCTTATGTGTGAAAATGACAAATTAGGTTTATGGTTCAACCATTTACACTGTAGCAGACCTCAGGATGCTAGGGCCAAAGACGTGGGAGGAAGATCCTTCTCACAGAGCCATAAACTGCACAGTGGTGAACATGGTGCAAACAGTGAAAACACAACCAGAAGGGTGATGTTGGTATAAGGAGTGGTGGGAGATGTGGTGGTCAAAATGTCTTTAATCCTGTTTGTCTGCCCTCCCTCAGTGAAGAACAGTCTCGGCTGGCAGCAAGAAAGTATGCTCGTGTGGTGCAGAAGCTGGGCTTCCCTGCCAGATTCCTCGATTTTAAAATTCAGAACATGGTTGGAAGCTGCGATGTGAGGTTTTCCATCAGGCTGGAGGGCCTGGTGCTCACTCACCAGCAGTTCAGCAGGTATGAGTTAGCAGACTCGGCTCCGTGTCATAAGGTGTTGAAGTTACACTATGGGCTAATTGTATGGAGTATTTTTAAGAAAATGTGATTAACTTAGAAGAGAATGGGAGAGGGACAGTAGATCAGAGGGCTAGGATGCAGGCCCTCACCCATTCCTCCATGACCTGTCTTTTACACTTTTGCCTTATACCTCACTTGGGTGGCAGTCTGGACAGCTTACCAAGTCCACATTCCTGGTGGGGCTGTTCACAGAGGCCTTCCTCATATTTGCAACCCTGCAAAACTCATTCATGATGCCAGTGCTGCCAGCTGGCTAGAGGCTCCCGTGTTGAGGCCCCAGTGATCTACAGACTTATAAAATAGGGACCAATGATGGTGATGGCAAGAAGGGATAGGTTGAGTGGTAAGAAGCAGTGACAGTGGGTGAAAGAGGGTTGGAGACCAGATGGAAGAACAGCTGTAGCTTGTCTTCTGAGTGTGATCCTCTCTAGTTGTCTTGTTTTGTTGATGGGGAATATTGCTGTGGGGCTAGCTCTTAGTCTACCACAAGGTCATTTTCAGTGCATTCCTCAGGAGCACCTCTACCGTTGCCAGCTGCCTCAGTAACTTCCCTCCACACAGCAGGTGCCCTCCCTGCCTGCAGCTGCCCTCCAGCTGTGGTCTGCAGTGACAGCAGCGCAGGCAGCTGAGGGAAGACAACCAAATCCCTATACTCCCAGGAGTGTGTTGGGCCAGGCACCTGACTCAATCCAGAATCATGTAACCATTGTGGAAATCAGTATGCAGATTCCTCAAAAACTAAAACAAGAAATTTTAATTAACCCAGCTAGGCCCCCACTGCCTGTTAGATTTTATTAGACTTTGTTTTGCATTGTTGACTTTATTACTCTTTCTAGGACTTCCTTAACAATTTTTTGGAGTGCCGAGTTGGTGCTCATGAATTTCTTGAGGTCTCTTTGTCAAGGAAATACCTTATTTCTCATCAGTTTTAAAAGAAAGTTTTCTAGGATATATAAGTCTGAGTTGGAAGCTACTATCTCTTACTTCGCTCCAAGCTCCTTTGCCTTTTAAGGTTTATGTCATGCAGCTGTTGGAATAGATGTGCTTCCTAAGTGACTTGTTGCTTTTCTCTGACAACTTTTAAGATTCTGTCACTGAGTTGGACTTCTGGTATTGACCATAGTCAGACATGTGACATGAAGAGCTTCTCTTTTGAATGTGGACATTTGGAGTTCTATATGTCATTTATCCATATGTTTAATTATTTCCAAATACTTGAAAGTTTTCTGCCATCATTTCTGTAACAAAGTTTTATACCATTTGTGTTGCCTTCCAATTTCCTACTTATTCCAGCTAATCAGATTAGTGCTTTTTATACAGTAAGACCCTGATTTATGAATATTGGAGTTGTGGACTTTCACAAATGCAAACAGACCTTGTGTTATGCACATTCATAGATGTGAACAAATAGCAGAAGTAGCTCATGTGTCTGGTGGACATTGTCACAGTGGTGCTGCTGTGTGCTCTATGTGAAGGGTGATAGTGTGTCGTGGTACAGTGCTCAGTCAGAGCACAGGATGTCTGGAAGCAAGAGAATACGCAGTTATGCTGTGGAAGGGACTGCTCGGAAGTGCAAAGCAATAACCATGGAAACGAAGGTGAAAATAGTGTATTTATAGTTTTACTGCACTATACCACCAACTTAAGATAACTATAAAAGTAAAAAATTATGTACAGTATTTTTGTTGTATGTTTGATTTTTTTTATGCATTACATGTTTATGTCAGAGATGTGTAAGACTCACTTTGTCAGACTTACAAATGAATCTGGCTTATGAACAATCTCCTGGAACAGAACTTGTTCGTAAGTCAGGGACTCACTGCATTATATACCAACTGTTGAATCCATTTCTCATGTTGTCTTGTTTTTAAGGTATCACTAAGTAACTGCTTTTTAACAGCATCCATCTCTTCCAATTCTGACATTCTATCTTCGTACTGGTCACTTCTGCTGTCCATACTTGATATAATTTTTAATCTTCTGGATTTCTGTTTGGACCTTTTTCATGGACTAACATTCTTTGCTCAACTGGTCATGATTTTGTAACACTTTGCAGCTCAGCTAGTTTTTGTTAGTGTGTTCTGTAAGCTCCTCGATGGATTTACTGCCATCATAATCATTATATTTTCTGTGAGTCTGCTGAGTACCTCACTGATCTGTTTTTAATGTTACCCTCTCACATATAGTCTATGCAGCTTTTGCTTTTTCCCCTTCATTCCCCCATGCCTCAGCTTTAGAGAAGTTCTTTCTTCTCATGTTTCTACTGTTTTTGGTTTTTAGAGACCAGGTTCTTGCTATGAAGTTCAGGCTGATCTCAAACTCATGGCTATCATCTTGCCTCGGCACTGTGCCACTGAGCTATACACCCCCATCTCTGGTTTTTGGTTTGCTTTTATTCTGTGCTTAGACTGTCAATTGCTTATAGTGGAAGGACTTGCTAATAAAATGGTGCCATGGTTTATGAACTTAAATTATTCCACGATTCTTTTTTTTTTAAATTTTATTTAAGGAGAAAAAGAAAAAAAAAAAAAGAAAAAGAATTCAAATTATACAGAATTTCAGAAAGAATAAACAGCAGGAAATCACTAGTTAATAGATTACATATTGTTATCTTAGAAATAGTTGTTCAAGTTACAAAATTAAAGCATATAAAGTGGACTTTCAAACAGTGAGACTGCAAACAGTTTTGTTCAATGATCCAACAAAACTCAGTAATATGGTTATCTATCTTATACACTTAAATATATATGCAGTTATATCCTTTAGAGCACTTTCTTTTCCTTTCTTTTCTACAATGACAAGTACACATTTTGGGTTTTATTACTCTCACAGTTCTTATTACTTTTTTTGAAGAGAGTAAAACCAAATGTGACATAACAGAACAGAGTCAGTCAAATCAAGAGGATGGACATAATAGATAACAAAATACAAGGTGATCAACAATGGTTACCATACTGCCTCTTGCTATCTTAAAAAGAATTGCCTATATCATCAGTTATAATAATATTGAACAAAATATATAATATATATATTATATATAAAATATATAATAAAATTGAACAAAACAGTAAAGAATAAAACCAAAACATTGGAGACATTACAGGACTTTAAAAGAAGATAATAGTCAACCAGAATGGGCGTCATAATGAATCTTACTGTCTTCACAGTTGTTGCCTATACTTTCAGACTTGGTACTATCAAGCAAAGCAGAATAGGGGAAAATCAGTCCAAACAAAATGGTGAGGGCAATACAGGGTTTCAAATCAAGTTAATAGGAAATCAAAGTGGGTTACTATAATGTATCCTGCTATCTTTTATTTATTTTCCCTTAATTAAAAAGATAAAAATAAAAAAGTAAATAATTAAAAAAAGGAGATTGAGATAAAAGAGGGCATAACAACAAACAGCACAGGTTAAAGCATAATCATTTAAGTAAAATAGTGTTTCACCACAAGATATCCTGACATAAAAGTAGTTACCATAGTGTCTCTTTCCTTGAAATCTTTGAGTATAATTTCATATACTATAGCACCAAACATATCAAGACAATGTAAAGGGGCTGGGGATTTAGCTCAGCTGCATAAGCTCCTGCCTTGCAAGCAGGCAGTCGTGAGTTCAATCCCTGGTACCGATAAAAAATAAAAAAAAATAAAAAAAAAAAAAGAAAAAGACAATGTAAAACCATTCAAGAGAATGACAGTATTACAGAGTATTTAGAACCAACTAACAGAAAATGAACAATGGTTTCTGTATAATCTCCATGTCTATAAATTTTTTGCTTATATTTTCACATATAATATCCAATAAGATACAACCTGTTAAGACTGATGGAGACAGAAGAATAAAAAGCTTGATGGGACTTCAAAACAAGATGATATTAAATCAGCACTAGCTATTATGATGTCTTGTTTTCTCCAAAATAGCTGTTCCTACCATCCAATCTTCTCTGCCTCATTTCTGTTGAGCTCTTTTTCTGTCATTAGTTGTCAGTTTGTCTTCTTCATTTTGCTTTCTGCTCCATTCATCGTGGCCTCTCTGCCACTGTTTCTGGAATCTTGGTATTTTCCTTTTTTAGAATATCCTGCAGTATTCTTTGTAGAGTTGAATTGGTGGTTGCAAATTCCCCTAGTTCCTCTTTATCCTGGAAGCACCTTGTTTTTCCATTAATTTCTAGGGACAGTTGTGCAGGATATATCAATCTTGGCTGGAGGTTATTATCTTTCAAAGCTTAAATTATTTCCCCCCACGCTCTTCGTGATTTGATGGTTTGTGCCGAGAAGTCTGCTATAATTCTGATGGGTGTTCCCTTGTAAGTGATCTGTTTCTTGTCTCTGATGGCTTTTAATATTCTGTTCTTATATTGGATTTCTGGAATTTTGATTATTATTTTCCTGGGTGTTGTTCTGTTTGCATTATAGGTGGCTGGGGTCCTGTATGCCTCATACATCTGAGTATCTTTAGCTTTTGCTAAATTAGGGAAATCCTCTTGGGTTATTTCTGTGAATAGCTTTTGTAGTCCATTTGTTTGTGTCCCTACTTCTTTTATGTTCTTAATTCTTAAGTTATAGATCCTCTTACCATCTTCTAGCCTTTGTATTATTGCTGTTTGTTTTCTTGTTATTTTTAAGAAGTTTTTCATTTCATGCTCCCACATTACAAATCTGCCCTCCAGTTCAGATAATCTATCCTTAGTTTCTTTCAAGCTGTTATGCCAGCTTTCGATAGAGTTTTTAGTTTCCTGGTAATCTCTTTGAACCTGCTTCACATATTCTATGTTTTGTCTATTTTCTCCATCAAGCAATTCTCCCCTTTTTTTCTGTTCTTCCATTCCACCATGTTTTTTCTTGGGTGGTGCTTAGCATTTCTCTAACTATTTTACTTATATCTTGCTTTAGGTCATTAAAACTTCACTTTTGAACTCGCCTATGAGGCTCCAGAGATATCGCTTTATGTCTATTGATGCCGTGTCTGATATTGCATGTTCTTTCCTCATTCTCCTTTGCATTCATCTTTCCTGGATCAGTGTTCTTAGGATTGGGGACTGAGGACCCTTTCTTGTTGCTTCCTCTTCCCATATTTTTTGTTCCTTCCATACAAGTGAATATAGGAGGCCCAGTTTTTTTTCTCTTTTTCTGTTACAGCTTGTTTGAATTGCACCAGCTAGGTGTTCCTGCCCACTGCAGTGTACTCGGGAGACACAGACCTGGGCAGCCTCTGCTGGGCCTGCCCTCCAGGTCAAGGCTTCACTGCTAGGGCACACCTCTAGGTGCAGGGACCTGATTTGGGCTAGCCTACTGGGTCTTAGTCAGCGGCGTCACCCAGGCCAGGCACTCCCCACCAATCCCGCTTGAGAGGGGAATATGTGACTAAAGTCACTGCAGCATCCTATTCTGGCTAGTCTGCCCAGTCCCAGAATGTCCTTTGTGGTGCCTCCTACTTTATGGAAGGGTCCCTTTTCTGCTCACTCACCTCATGTCGATGCAGGGCTCCCTGCCAGTCCCACTCTCAACTCTGTTCGCCAATTCCCACTCTCAGAGTTTTCGTGCGTCTCTCTCCCTGCCGTGCTGATTTGGACGCAGCAGGGGCAGCGGGAAATTCAAATCGCGGCTTCCAATGGTGCAGGACCCAGCTTCTGCACCGAGATTTTTATCTGTTCCTGTTATAGCATTGGGATTGCGTTTCCAGTTAGTTTCTCTTAGCTTAGTTTGTTCCCGGGTTGGCAGGGTACATCTCCCCTTGCTTAGGACTCCTCGAACCACCCCATTCCTGGATTCTAAGCGGGGTATCTCAGAGAGCCTTTGTAGCTGCTGCTATCTATCTGCCATGTTCTCCCAGAAGTCCATGATGAACCTCATTCCATGATTCTGCTAATAAACTGAATTGGTCATGAACCAAATCAAATTTGCCCATAAATGTAAATAAAGTTAATCTGTTCTGAACATATGTATTTTTTAACCACAATACTATAAAGCAAAATATAGTACAGTATGTAGAAAGAGAGAGAATGCTAATCTTTCTTGAGGTGACTTCTGGTTTGGAAGACAGGAAGGTGGGTGGGGAGGATACTGTTGTTTGCAGGGAGAGGCCCCCTTCATAAGGGTATTGGGATCTCCTCCTGTGGTTTCCTCTCTATTTTTCTTTTTCCTCTTAGCTGCAAGGTAAATTTTGGTGAAAAATCTGCGTAGCATCACTTGTTTTTTCCTGTGCTGTATAACCGTTTGGAAAATAAAGACCATGTTAGCATTCTTCAGATTCCACACTCTATTCATTATACTTATGCTTAGGCCAGTGATTCGCAAAAGAAATCCTGGCACTTGTTCCCTTTTTCCATACTGGATTTTAGCACATCACAGCTAACCTCTTTCCCGCCTTCCTCTTCCTTAATGGATGCTTCTCAACAAGAGCCTTCTGCAGCTCAGCAAGTTCTTTCTTCATCAGCTCCTCATTATGATCCTCAACAAGTTTCTCTGTGTCTGAACTATCAACATTCAGACCCATACTCTTGCCTAATCTCCTCTACTACCTCCTTCATTAGATCCTTCAAAGTCAGGTTCAGTAACACACCTGACTACAGTTTCCTCCATGTTGAATTTAAGGTCCAGCACATGACATCTTCCCAGGCTTTGTCAGTGACATTGATAATGGAGGATACTGAAATGTTTCTCCTACAACTCAGAATCAAGGACATCTCTTCAGTGACATTAAAACATCTGGTGAAGAGCACCTTTGTGTCCAGGTTCTTTAAGTTGCAGATCACTCACTGGTCCATGGGCTACAGAAGAGGTATCCTGTTGGGGAGAGGAACTTGAGCTTTATGAAGTCACACTTAGCATCCATATCATCCACCAAGGCTGGAGGGTGTTCCTGGGCATTGTCTATTGGAAGAGGGCACCTTTTAGGCACTTCGTTATCAGATAGCTTTTTCTTCTTTAATTTTAAAGAGAAAAAAAGTAAAAATAACAATACAACAGAACTCCAAAACAGGCTAGTAGAACAGTAACAATAATTAATACATTGTGTATCTTTGTCTACATAGCATTCAGAGTATGAGATACAGGCACGGAATATTGTCCAAACAATTAGCACAGACCTTCCTTTTCAATGAAGGAAGAGAAACTAGCTATATTACTATCATAACTATCTTGTGTGTATATATATATATATATATATATCTTGCCTTTTCTTTTCCTTCTTTTCTCCTTTTCCCCATTATAGTTTTTTTTTTAAGAGAAGACGTGTAAAATAGAAATAAAAGTTTCAAATCGGGCAAATACAGTAACAATAATTAATACATTGCACTTTGTTATCTTCATAGTAGTTACTCAGAGTACAACATAGAGGCACAAAATAATAGTGCAAATCATAAAGTGCAAATCATTCACATGATGAATGTGAAAACTGTGCAGCCATTCTGTGAAAAACTGCCTTGAGACCCAAGCTTTGACATTGGCCTTCCACATGACAGGCAGCCTGGCCTTATTCACATTCTGCTCCTTGAATGCTGAGGGATCTGAGAATGGTGCACCAGTGGTGGCTTAATTTCAGATTGATGCCTGAGTTTACAAAGAACAAAAGGGTCAACTTGTCCTTCCTGACTGTGTCCCACAGGGCAGTGCCTTCTCCTCCTGCGTGGTGTACATTCTGTTTGGCATCTTCCGGAAGAGTCCTGATCACCACTGAGTCCTGAACACCTGTGGAGCCACATGACCTTCTGCCTTGATGAATTCTGTGAATTCTTGTCTGACTCTGTCTGCAGGGGCCCTGTCAGAACTGGAATCCTCACCATGTCTTATCACACAGTGCATGCCACTTCTCCTGTGGAGTTTACTGAACTATCCTCAGTTGGTTCTAAATTCATTACTTGTTGCACATGTAGGAGGTTTTCTTGCAGTAAATTCTCTGCAATTTCCTGGCTTTTTCACAGATCCTAGCCTCGCTAAGGCTATCACCTGCCCGCTGTTTCTCATTCAACCACAGTGACAAAAGTTTTCCATCTCTTACAGCACTTAGGTCCTCTGCTGGGTTAAGATCATTGCTCCTTTTGCCACCTCAGCTCCTTGATGGCATCTTTACTCTTCAAATTAGTTGCAACTGTCAACTTTGCTATCTTGTACTCTGAGACCAGTTCAGGCACGTGAATATCATACTCATGCTTTTCTATAATTTCTTCCTTCAGTTCAATTATTATTTTCTTTAAAACCTTCTTACCATTCTTGCTCTGCACTCTCTTGTCACCTTCATTACTGCTATGCTCTTTCTTTTTACCACCGTATTTGCCCTGCACTTTCTTTGGTACCTGCTGGATTGAATAACACCATACAGAATTGTATGTGCTAACCCCCCTCTCCCCACACACAAGCCTCACAGCAAGTGCACAGGTCTGTGTGTGACCATAATGTCAACTGGAGGAAGCTATGACCATGTGTCAGAGTGGGGAAGACGGCTCTGATCATGTGTCACCTGATGGGGAATTTGGAAATGGAAGCAAATGTGCCAAATGCTTCTGTTAGCAAACTGAATTGTTTGTGGATGGAAGACTTCATGAGTTGAGGCAGTACTGTATAAAAATCTCTTTGGTGTGCATTTCAGCATACACTAAGGGTGTGTCCTTTTGCCTGTGTCCCAAGTTGTGGTCACCTTTGCTAGTATGGGAGGGGATATGAAGTGCCATTGGTCCAGCACCCAACACTTGAAGAATGGACTGCAGTATTTTAATGTCATGAAGGGCATTAGCATACAGAGAAAACTTATTAATAGCAATGATTATGCATCGTGGGAAATATCAAATAAATCAGCAGCAGTAATATTGTCCAAGACAAACTAGATATTGACATACCATAGAAGCCAAGCTGAATGTTTAGTTCAGCAGCACAAGTGTTTGCCTAGGAAGCATGAAGTCACAAGTTTGATCCCCTGTATATATACATAAAAAAGGCAATAAATGTATCACCCTGAACTTTAGAAAAGAAACCTACAATTATAGAATAAACTCTAAGGCAAACTAAGATTTTTTCCCAGTTTGTGGGTTTTCTTTTCACTATGCTGGAGATTTCTTTTGATGTGCAGAAACTTTTTAATAAGACATGATCCCAATTATTGACTGTGGGAAGTATTTCCCATGTGGTTTGAGTCTTGTTCATGAATTCTCTACCTACTCTTATGTCTTCAAGGTTTTTACCCAATTTGTCTTCCAATAGATTTAGTGCTTCTCTTTTAATATTAAGATCTTTGATCCATTTAGATTTTAATTTAGTACATAGTGATAGGCATGGGTCTAGTTTTAGTTTTCGGCATATGGAGAGCCAGTTTTTCCAGCACCATTTATTAAAGAGACTGTCATTCTTCCAGTGAACATGTTTGGCCCCTTTATCAAAGATAAGGTGGTTGAGTGTGTTTGTAGTTGTGGTTGTATTTTCTAATCTATTCCACTGATCTTTGGCTCTGTTTTGGTTCCAGTACCATGTTGATTTTACTATTGTTGCTTTGTAGTATAACTTCAAGTCAGGGATTGTGATGCCTCCTGCCTTGCCTTTGCTGCTTAGAACTGTCCTTGCTATTCTAGATCTCTTCTCACTCCAGATGAATTTTAGGAGTGATTTCTCAAGATCTATGAGGTATGTTGATGGTATTTTTATCAGAATTACATTGAATCTGTTTAAAAGTTTTAGGAGAATGGACATTTTTACAATATTTATTTTTCCTATCCGTGAGCAAGGGATGTCTTTCCATTTTCTGAGATCATCTTCAACTTCATTTTTAAGTTCTATTATAATGTTCCCTGTATAGGTCTTTCACTTCTTTCATGAGAGTAATTCCTAAATATTTCATTTTTTGGTTGCTAGTGTGAAGGGTGTGACTTCTCTTATTTCTCTCTCTGTGATTCTGTTTTTACTGTATAGGAATGCTGTTGATTTTTGAGTATTGATTTTGTATCCAGCCACATTGCCGAATTTATTTGTTATATCTAGAAGTCTTTCAATGGAGTTTTGGGGGTCTTATATGTAGAGTATCACGTCGTCTGCAAACAATGATAATTTAACTTCTTCTTTTCCTATCTTTACCCCTTTTATTTCTCTCTGTCTAATTGCTCTGGCTAGTATTTCCAGTACTATATTAAATAAGAGCAGTGATAAGGGACATTCTTGTCTTATGCCTGATTTTAAAGTAAAGGCCTTCAATTTTTGGCCATTTAGTATGATAATGGCTGCTGGTTTGTCATAGACGGTCTTTATTATATTGAGGTAAAGACCATCTATTCCAATTTTCTGCAAGGTTCTTATCATAAATCAATGTTGGACTTATCAAAAGCTTTTTCTGCATCTATAGAAATGAGCATGTGATTCTTACTTTTGGCTCTATTGATATGGTGGATTACATTTATTGATTTACGTTTATTGAACCATCCCTGCATCCATGGGATGAATCCCACTTGGTCATGGTGTATGATGATTTGCTGCATCCTATTTGCCAATATTTTATTGAGGATTTTTGCATCTGTGTTCATTAGGGAGATTGGTCTGTAGTTCTCTTTTTCAGTTGGGTCCTTCTCAGGTTTTGGTACTAGAGTAATATTTACTTCTAGGAGCGATTTAGGAAGGATTGCTTCCCTTTCAATTTCATTGAAGAGTTTGTGGAGTGTTGGCATTAAATCTTCTTTGTATTTCTTGTAAAATTCTGCAGGGAATACATCTGGGCCTGGGCTCTTCTTTGTGGGCAAGGACTTAATTATGTTTTCAATTTCATTAATAGAGATTGGGTTATTCAGCAGTTTTACATCTTCTTGACCTAGCTTTGGTACTTCATATGCTTCTAGGAATCTTTCCATTTCCTCTGTGTTATCAAACTTTTGAGAGTAGCGGTTTTCAGAATAGGTATTGATGATCTTCTGTATTTCTATTGGGTCTGTAGTGATTTCTCCTTTTTCATTCTTTATTGCATGAATTTGAGCTTTTTCTTCCCTTTTTAAAATAAGGTTGGCTAGGGGCTTATTGATTTCATTTATTCTTTCAAAGAACCAACTTTTTGATTCATTGATATTTTTTTTTATTCTTTATTGCATTGATTTCTGCTCTGATTTTTATAATTTCCTCTCTTCTTTTGGCTTTAGGCTTGACTTGCTCTTCTTTTTCTAGATATTTGAGGTGTAATGTCAGGTTATTTATTTGTATTCATTCTGTTTTCCTGATGTGGGAACTCAGTGCAATGAATTTTCCTCTGAGGACAGCTTTCATTGCATACCACAGATTCTGGTAAGTTGTATTTGTGTTTTCATTTGTTTGTAGGTATTATTTAATTTCTTCTTTAATTTCCTCTGTGACCCACTGATTACTCAAGAGTGTGTTATTCAGTTGCCATGTGTTTGTGGGATTTTTGCAGTATCTTTTATCATTAATTTCTAATTTCATAGCACTATGATCCGATAGCATGCAAGGAATAATTTCAACCCTTTTGCATTTATTTAAATATGTTTTGTGAGTTAATATATGGTCTATTTTAGAGAAGGACCCATGTACTGCTGAGAAGAATGTGTATTCTGTTGTTGTTGGGTGGAATACTCTGTATACATCTATCAAGTCCATTTGTTCATAGATGTGATTCAGTTATTTCTTTGCTGACTTTCTGTCTGGTTGATCTGTCCATTGGTGTCAATGGTGTGTTAAAATCTCCTGTTAGAATTGTGTTGCTGCTAATTTGGTTTTTCATTTGCGTTAATACTTGTTTTATATAATTGAGTGCTCTAGAATTTGGTGCATATATATTTAAGATAGTTATTTCTTCCTCTTGAAGTTTTCCCCTAACCAGTATGTAGTGACCTTCTTTATCCCTTCTGATCATTATTGCTTTGAAGTTTACATTGTCTGCAAACAGAATAGGTACTCCTGCTTTTTTTTTTTTTTTTTTTTTTTGGGTTCCTATTGCATGAAGTATTGTTTTCCATCGTTTGACTTTTAGTCTGTGAATATCTTTTTGGGTTAGATGGGTTTCTTGTAGACAGCATATGGTTGGATTTTATTTCTTGATCCATTGTGCCAGTCTGTTTCTTTTAATTGGTGCATTGAGACCATTTACATTAATGGTTATAACTGTTATATATTGGTTTATTGTTGACATGTTGTCTTTCTGTTGCATCTTTATCTTTCTGTTCTGTTTAATTGTCTGCTTTGCTTAGTGTTTTTTTCCTAAATGTATCTAGGCTGTCTTTCAGTATTCTTTGCAGGGTTGGCTTGGTGATCATGAAGTTCTTCAACTGTTCTTTGTCATGGAAATATCTTATTTCTCCATCGATTTTGAAGGACAGTTTTTCAGGGTACATCAGTCTAGGTTGGAAATCATTTTCATTTAGGACCTGAAATACTTCACTCCTTGCTTTTCTTGATTTTATTGTTTGTGCTGAAAAGTCTGCTGTGATTCTTATAGGTTTTCCTTTATAGGTAATCTGTCTTTGATCTCTGACAGCTTTTTTTTTTTTTTTTTTTTTTTTTTTTGTCTTTTTCGTTTTTACCGGTACCAGGGATTGAACTCACGACTGCCTGCTTGCAAGGCAGGCGCTTATGCCGCTAAGCTAAATCCCCAGCCCTCTGACAGCTTTTAATATTCTATTCTTTTGTTCAATTTCTGGGGTGGTGATTATTATATGTCCGGGTGTAGTTTTATTTTGGTTATGGCTGTTTGGAGGTCTGTATGCTTCATTGATCTTGATATCAGTTTCCAATCTCATGTTTGGGAAATTTTCAGCTATTACTTCTCTAGATATCCTCTTGACATCCTTTATGTTGTCCCCTTCTTTTTCATTTATCCCTATCCACCTTATGTTGTTTCTCTTTGGGTCATCTTGCAGGTGTTGAATTATTTCCTGATTTCTTGTTATTTTTAAAAGATCTTTCCTTTCCTGTTCACTGGCTGCAATCTTGTCTTCAAGGTCCTAAATTCTATCTTCACATTCATTGAGGCAGTTTTTACAGCTTTCAATGGAATTTTTTATTTCCTGTATATCTCTTTGCATCTGCTTTATATATTCTATTTGTTTCTTATATTGTTCATCCAGGGATTCTTTTTAATTCCTCCAATTTTTTTAACTGTGTCTTCTTTATATATGTTCAGCATGTCCTTCATTTCTTTTATCATTTCTTCTTTTATCTGAGAGATTATTTCTAGTTTGAATTCCTTTAAGGCTCCCCAGAGTTGCTTCTTTATTTTGGTTTCTATTATTTCAGGTATTTCAGGTATGTGGCATGTGTTTTCTTCTATGTATAGGATTCCTAGGCTTTCTTGGGATGGGCTGGATGTTTGAGATTGCATTTTGGTCTTTTGTTTTGTCATTTTCCTATGTTTTTGAGCTTCAAGTGTTGTTCCAAGCTTCTCCTGGGCATGTCTCTTATATCCTGGACTCCTGGGACTTCTCTGGTAGTATAACTCCCTCCTTGGGCAGCGAAGCCCCTGGATTAAGAGAAGGTTGCCAGGATCCTGTCAGGTAGACCTAAAGACTCCTCAAGCTATACAGCTCCTCTCTGTGGCAGCAAAGCTTCCCTCCTCAGCTGGGCTGCTCAGTCCTCCAGGCGGTGGCAGTAGTGCTAGAGCTCTCCAGGCTGAAAGAAGGTCGCAGGCAAGGTCGGAGCAGTTTCCTGCAGCTTGCCCTGTTCCCTCCTTCAGATGGGGCAGCTGCCGTGTGCCCTTCAGGTGAGAGAGCGTGGTTGGCAAGGCTAGAATGGGGTCCCGGGGCTAGGCCCCCTGGGACCTGCCTTTCCCAGCAGGTAAGTATGGGCATGGCCCCTAGGCGAGAGAGAGAAAGAGAGAGAGAGAGAGAGAGAGAGAGAGAGAGAGAGAGAGAGAGAGAGAGAGAGAGAGAAAGAGAGAAAGAGAGAGGAGGAAGGGAGATGGGGAGAGAGGGAGAGGGGGAGAGGGGGAGGAAGGTAAGTCACCTTACCTTTCAGGCACTCAAGTAGTGGGCCTCAAGTGTACCTTTCTTGGAACCAATTTTTGTTGGTCATAAAGGGCTGTCTGCCTGTAAGCTGTATGTCTACACCACACTTCACATCCTTCTTCCGGCCACTTAGGGCTCTAAGATGATGAGTGCAGTTTTTCGTATTTTTCTTTTTTTAACTAACAGTGCATTTTTCATGGAACAGATTAAAGGACAGAGTAGAAGTGTTCCCTTCTGAAATCTGCCAGAAGAACTCCATGAGACTTCATCAGATGTACAGTATTAGCCACTTGAATTGGACTTCTCCAGTTCTGTGTTCCTTACAGGCCAGTTTTATGATGTCAGCCATCTTTTTTTTATTTGACCAGGGCATTTTGTTTTGCCTTAGCTGTCTCTTTCTAGTCTCATTTTTGCTTCTCCGTCTGGTTTTCATCCTCAGGTTATGGATTACAATACCACTAGGAGTATTCTTGACATTGGGGGATTCTAAGAATGCCTGGTCCCCAGCACAGAAAGATCTTTTTAATTGCCTGTGGGTCTGTGGGGTACATGGCATGCATTGGTTATAAGGATCAGTTTTGTGTTATGTCAACATCTGAAGTTCATTTTATTCCCCGGGTCTTGAAAATGTGTGTATCAGCATCTAATAATCTTTGTTATTATTGGGAGCATCACTTGTCAATTTTTTATGCCATAATAAGCTTCACAGTTTTATATGTGCTTTTTCTTTCCTTTTTAAAAATTTTTATTCAAAAAAGTATTGCTAAATATTTGCTAAAGCTGGGTGTGGTAGCACATATCTGTTATCCCAGTATTCAGGAGGCTGAGGTAGAAAGATTGCTATTTGATTACATAGTGAGTTCAAGACCAGTCTGAATTACATTAAGACCCTGTCTTCTTTTTTTTTTTTTTATTGGTACTGGGGATTGAACTCACAACCGCCTGCTTGCAAGGCAGGTGTGTATGCCGCTGAGCTAAATCCCCAGCCTCCAAGACCCTGTCTTAAAAGATGAATTATTCATTAAATGGGTAAACCCAAAAGGATTATTTCTGACCTGATTTCCCGTATAACTTCATGGAGTTGTTTCTTTACTTCATTTGCTATCATTTTAGAAAGTTCAGTAGTGCAATTTCCAGTGTCTTCTGTTTCAGTGTCTCTTGGGTTTGTTCTCAGTGGGCTGGAGAACTGAGACTGCCTCTTGCTCTTTGTTTTGTCATTTTCCTCTGGGTCCCACGGTGGGGCTGGTCAGGCACCCTCCTGATGGATTACACTGGAGTGCTGCACTGGGCAGAGGTTCAATCCTCTTGATATCCCTGTGGCTAGCTGGGGCACATACTTCACCTATGGTGCTAGATCCTTGTGTTCTGGGGCCTGAGAGGCTCCCTGATGTACTGCACTGGGTTGCTCTGGGATGCTGGGCTGGGCAGAGGTTGGATTCTCTTGCTGCTAACAGGGACACACTCCCAGAGTGTGCTGCTGGGGAGTGGAGTTGAGAACCTTTGGCACCCAGGTGGCTAGTAGGGACACACCCCCAGTATGTCACCAGGGACTAGCACCTGGCTGGGTGGAGTTCAAAACCTCTGGGACCCAGGCAGCTAGGCAGAACATGACCCCACAAGTGGCATCCCCTGGATCTTGCCTTTGGCTGGGGCGAGTCCAGAATCTCTGGAGAGTGCAGTTAGCCAGAACACGTACCCTGCTTAGTATGGTGCTATGCTCCTGGCTGGGTGGAGTTCTGAACCTCCCGGACCCGCCACGTGACTAGCTGGGCCACACTGCTGAACTATGGAGGTGGGGCCTTGTATTCTGAGGAGCCGAGTTCAGATTCTTGAAAGCTGTTGTAGCACCCTGATGGGCAGCTCTGGGCTGGGCTGGGTTGGGCTGGGCACCTGTGACCAGTGAAGCTGGCCAGATTGTGCTGGGTCGCTAGGCTGGTCAGAGTTTAGAGTGTGGTGCCAGGGCCTACCACCTGGCTGGGTGGAGGTTCAGAACCTCTGAGACCAGGACGCTAGGCAGAGCAAGACCCCAAGTGTGGGTGGGGACCTTGCTTCAGGCTGGGAAGAGTTCAGTGCCTCTGGAACGTGCAGCTCTAGTAAACCCAAAAAGGCCAGGTGGCATCTGCCTGAAATCCCAGCACTCTGGGAGGCTGAGGCAGAAGGATCAGAAGTTTGAGCCCAATATGAGCAATGTAGCAAGATCTTGCCCCCAAAAAGGGATGGACAGTAGTTCATTCTGAAAGTACCACATTCAGTCCCCAGCAGTGTGCGCGCGCACACACACACACATACACAAAAATATCTAGATGATTACTAAGTAGCAGATGCTACTTGGCAAGCTATATGGACACAGGCTCTGACCAAAAAGGAAAGCAGACATGTTTACGAAGAAAGAGGCCTTTTAGGGTACTGTGGGACCCCAAGTAGGGTGTTTAATGGAACTGAGGAAGGGGAGAGGTCAAGGAATACTTCTAGGGGTGAGGACTGAAGAATGCATCAAAGGCTGGTTGGCCAAAAAATTGGGAGATGTGTCTCTGAGATGTTCTCTAACCTTAATCAAAGCTGCTGCTTTACTTTGCTTCAGCCTTCCTTGGAAGGAGGCAGATAAAGTCAGTCTCTAATCAATTCATTATTCTGGTTACCTTAAAATCAGCATTTTGAAAGCAACTTCAGTTCACTGTCATTTTTGAATCAAAGTCATTCCCTTTCTCTATTTTACTGTCCTAAGATTCAGACAGAAGATCAGATCAAACAAATGTCTTTGGTCTCCCCAACCATTGTTTTCCTGTCCTGCTGGATCTTCCGGGCTCCCACCTGTATCAGTCAGGTTTACTAGAGAAACAGATGTAACACAGATACACAACTGTATAAGAAATTCCAAGACTGGCTTACAATGGTCAGCCACAAAATTGAATAAGGGGGAGAGCAGAAGATGGTTGTACAGTAGAGATTGAAGGGTCCAGCCCCAGGGCAGGAGCTAACTGCAGTGACCCATGCAAGTCTGTATCAGGAAGCCAATGGGTCTATTATGGAACACTGAAAAACCTACAATGGAAGGCTGGAGTTTCAGGCAGAAGCCAAACAGCCTATGCCAGAAGCCAGGAGACCACATCTAAGCTGAAGAGGACTGAAGCTCCTCTGAAGAAACAGCAATCAGTTTTTTGCATTTGCCTTTTAAAGGTATGCAGCCTGCTCCCTTGGGGTGGGTGTAGCACTCACATCATCTGCCTGTCCTCCTCTTGTACAGGATAACGAAATTAGGGCCTGCTGCTGAATCAGTTAAAGTTTTGACCTTCTCAAATTGACACAATGAACAATATCCCAAAACTTTAACTGCTTTTTTTTCTACACTCCAAGATGTAGAGCTGCTGAATCAGTTAAGCTTTCAGACTTCTCAAGTTGACACAATGTATAAACCATAACACAATTGCTGCAAGGTACACAGGGGTCTTGGTGGACCTCTCATGAAGGCTGCGTGCTAGTGCAAGGTGGGTCAACCTACACTAGATCTGTGTCCTGCAGAAGGTCATCTCACAATGTTGACACACAGGCTTCATGCATTGTTAATCCACAGAGATCTGCCATGTCATTTGGATTCACCCCTATAGTGCAAAGACTCATGTGCACTGCTGTTTTTCATCTCAGATTCCTTTGCTTCCTACTCTCCATTCTATTAGCCATTTTTTTCTTGTCTTTTTTGAGATGAGGTCTCCCTATGCAGTTCAGGCTGGCCTTGAGCTCACTTTGTAGCCCAGGCTGGTCTCGAACTCCCAAGGATCCTCCCACCTCAGCCTCCTGAGTGCTGGGATTACAGGTGTGAGCCACCACGCCTGGCTGCTAGCCATTGTTTAATACTGGTTTTATTTCAACCTCTTGCCTTCATTATAGGAGGCTCTCCAACCTCTTTAGGAATCTGTCCTCCTGGGTTGGAGTGTGGAAAGTAGTTTTTTAGCTCATCATCCTTTGCTCTGTGGAGAAGCCAGCTTCCATTTAGGACACAGATAAATTATTGTTCTGAGGAAAAAAATTCTAAATTTTACAATCTTGGGATTGCTGTCTTTCTTTGTACAAGATGTGATAAAAACTATGGTGAATGTTTTAATTAAAAATGAACCTGATTGACATATTTTGAAATTTTGTTTTATTGGTTTTTTTTTCCAATAAATAAAACGGACTTGAAAAAAAAAGAGAGACAACCTGATTGACATATTTTGAAATTTTGTTTTATTGGTTTTTTTTTCCAATAAATAAAACGGACTTGAAAAAAAAAGAGAGACAATTATGACAGTGGATGACACATTGCCACTCATCACCCTCAGTATCCCCTGGATGTGGAACATACTTACGTAGTCTTCCTTGTCACTTTCTGAAGCAGTGCTGGAAATCCTTCTTTATGAGTATCTTTTTGGGTTGCTTTGATGTCCTGAATCAATGCAAAACATTTGCAGAGATTTGTATCAAATAAAAACATCTGGAACTCTGCAGTCTCTGATTGCTCCCTGAAATTACATCACATTGAATGCAATAAATGCTTGAAATTGACTGAGAACATCGACTTAGCCAACAATAGAATATAAGGATACTCTGAAAAAGGATTTCAGAAAGAGTCAAGAACAATGGATAAATATGTTTGAAGCTGAAGTATGTTTGAAGATTGGAGAGGGGTTAATGACAGTGTCTTTTACATGTATAAAAACATTCTAAAAGTTTGATACTTTGCAGATACATAATGTTTACAAATATTTACATTTTATACATACCTGTATTTTCAATCATACCTCATGGCAAATGTTCAAAGACAAATGGCTTGTCATGTAGAATTTTTTTGTAGGATCTATCTGCTAAAAATATTTAATGACTTATAAATGCTTACAAAATATATTTTTTAAAATCTCAAAAACATGTTTATATTGGCAGAGTTTTGATCAAAGATGGAGAACATTAAACCAGCAAGATCAAAATACATCAAATCTGATGACCAAGATTACCTCCGTTTCTAGTAGCCTAGATTGGCCTGCAAATCAAAATTTTTATAACCAAAAGCTATTCTTCACTGCCACAGTCTGCATTCAGAGCTCAGAATGTAACTTAGTGGTAGAGTGCTATGAGGCTCTGGGTTCCATGCTAAGCAATAAGTGATAAACAAGTATCCACTCTCAGCACTATTTTTCATCAAGGTAGCTAAGAGTTTTGATAATATACTGGGTCTTGGATTTTGGAAAAAGATGAATAGTGCTATTTTTAACTTTTTCCTTTTTTGTCTTAAAAGTTATGAACCAGAACTGTTTCCTGGCCTTATTTATAGAATGGTAAAGCCACGAATTGTGTTGCTTATCTTTGTATCTGGAAAAGTTGTACTGACAGGTAAGTTCTAAATTTCTTTTTTTTTACTTTCATAAAATTCAATAGCTACCTGCTTTTCTTTTCCTTTTAAACAGTATTGTTCACTGTTTGGCAGTTACATTCTTGCTAATATGTAATACTGGAAAAATGAAAATCCTAATTCTTGAGACATTTTATGTTTTTTTCATATACACACCTTATATCCTGCCTTTTTACTAACCAATATAAATAATACATACAACCTGATTATTAAGACTCTCATGTGAAGGCTTTCTGTGGCTGAATGGTGTTCAAAGGGGTGTTTTGCAGACTTTTTCTGCCCGAGGCTCTGTGGGCCACAGGGTCTGTACCTGTACCTCTGCAGTGCAGACAGCTATGGATGTCACATGGAGGAGTGGGTGACAAAGTGTGAATTTTTATGTCACATAATAGTTTTTTTAATCCCCTCCCACCACTTAAAAATATAAAAAAAATTCTTGGCCTAAAGGTTGATAAAAAATAGTTAGCAGACTGACTTTGGCCAGCAGGACTACATTTCCTGACCTCTGTTCTATAAGATATGGATCAAATTTGTTCTCTTATTGTCAGATTCTTAAATGTTCATTCTTTGTTTGCTTCTTAAAAATGGTATAAAAATTTGGCTATGTTTACATGTGGAGAATTGTTTTGTTAGTGTGTATGCTCAGAAATAGAACTTTTAGCATGCCTGTAATCCTGCACTCAGGAGGCTGAGGCAGGATCGCTGTGATTTCCAAGGCCAGTCTGTATTACATAGCAAGACCTTGACTAAAAAAAAAAAAAAAAAAAGGAACTTCTGTTTAAAGACATGACTGCTTGAGGTTTTTAGTTTGAAATGCCAAATTCTTTTAAGGATATATATGATTCTTCTATATGCTATGTCCCAGCAATGTATTTATAAACATCTTTTACCAAACCCTCAGCAGCAGCACTAAAAATGGTATAAAAGAAAGCTTTTTAAAATATGTAAGTGGAAATGATTTTGTTGTGTTTACATCAGTGGTAATCAAAATCAGAAGCCAATGGCCAGGAGTGCTGGTGCACACTTGTGATCTCAGCACTGGGGGAGGTGAGGCTTGAGGTCCTCATGTTTGAACCCAGCCTGGGAAACTTGGTGTTCTAGTGAGAAACAGGTATCAAAATACAAGACAAACACAGGCAGGGGTTAGACAAGAAAGCAGTAAGAAGGGGCAGCAGGAGGTAAGAATGGGTAATAAGGGAGAAAAAGATAAGCAAAACTATGCATACTGACATCTCCCCCCAAATATGACAGTGGGGAGCAGAGCAAGGGGCTGCCAGCAGTATATGTGTAAAAATGATGATCAAATATGTGCATATCCAAATCTGCCAGAAAAAAACTGTTAGTCTGTATAACCAATAAAAAAGTAGAAAAAAGGAATGAACACGTTTGGGATATAGCTCAGTGTGAAGGGCCAGTGTATACCGCCAAAAAAAAAAAAAAAAAAAAAACCCTATAAATTGATTATTTTTCAATATTTTCCAATAGATAGCATTTCTTTTTTTTTTCTTTCCTCTTTTTGTTTTTTGAGACAGAGTCTAACTATGTAGCCCAGGCTGGTTTACAACACTCAAGTGATCCTCCAGTCTGAGCCTCCAAAATGGTGAGATTATAGGTGTGTGCCACCATACCCAGTTTAGAATTTTATCTCTTGTAAATACTAAATAGATAATGTATCCTTTCCTCCACTTAGCTTTTACTAGTTTTTTTTCCCCTAGGAATTTGTATGAGTTCACCATAATCTTTTTATTTGGAGTCAGGTTTCACTGCCTCGATATTTCCCCTCCTCCATCCTACTAAGATTAAATCAGATAGCCAGATAACCATTTCTCAGATTATTCAATTTTGTAGTTCTATTCTTTTCTTTGTTGCAGTACTGAGGAGTAAGCCCAGTCTTTGCAGTGAGCCCTGTCCACAGTCCTTTTTAAATTTTGAGATAGGACTTCGCTAATCACTAAGTTGCCTGGGCTAGGTTTGAATTTGGAATCTTTCTGCTTCAGGATCTGAGTTCTGGGATTACAGGGGAGTATCACTACAACCTAGTTTCTGGAAAGATTTTAATCAACTTCAGCTGTTTTCTATATTTCCTCATGCTAACAGTTTTTACAGTCTTCTCATTTAACTTCCTTATTTACTTTTTGCCCTCAAAATGCCTGATAATTATTTCTTGATCAGTGTAAACAATTTGCCAGTCCACAGTGCTCAGCACAATCTGCCCACACTTCTGATGATGCTGAGAGATAAGGATGGCTGACCATATCTCAAGGATAGAGACTAATATTTCTATTCCTGTAATTCCTAGACAAGCATGCTAAAAATCCCTGGAAAGCTAAGACTATAGGATGACAATGGTAGTTTTTCTTCTCTAATTCATTCTTATACACTAAAATTTAAAGCTCTAGAATAGTTGTACATTTTCTAAATCTGCTAATATTAGGGAATCAAGATGTTAAGTAGAGATGAGTGAATCAGAGTCATTTTGCTGGAGCCCACAGGTGCTGAAGTCATTCTGAGGTTATGTGTGTGGCGCACTTAGTCATTAACATCTCATATTTCAAATTTCTTATGAGAACTATGCTGGACGTAGCGATTCATACCTGTAATTCCAGCACTCAGGAGACCGAGACAAGATGATTGCTGTGTTTCAAACCAGTGTACCCTGTCTCAAAAAATGAAACAAAAAAAGTAAGCACTGTATGGCTAAACATAATACCCACAGAGTAAGTACTAAAAAACTCTGGGTCTATGTTTTGTGGAAAAATGGTTGTAGTAACCAGGTATGGCTAAAGAGACATCACATATTAAAGTGATGGGAGAGGGCTAGAGGTATTGGTTCAGTAGTAGAGCATATGTCAAGCACTGGGTTTGATCTCTAGCTCTGTCAAAAAGTAAAAAGTATCTGGAGATAACACAATGAAATGTAGTGTTATGGAAATTTTGGTATTTTAAAGATTATGTAAATTTGGATTTCTTTATAGGTGCCAAAGAACGTTCTGAGATCTATGAAGCATTTGAAAACATCTACCCTATTCTAAAAAGTTTTAAAAAAGGCTGAGCATATCATTCAACATTTTGCTACTCTGACTGTGTGTATAAGTTCACTACAAAACAGTTGGATTCTTTTGGCTTTAATTGTAGATGTCCAAGTACATTTTGACTTATATGGTGATTCTATGTGAGTAACTGTGTCTAAGAAATGAAAACAATTTCTTACTGAAAATAATTCCTGTATGTTTTAAAAACTGAAGAAAAATTCAGAATTTGAGAGATTTGGGGCTTTGTTAGAATATTATATAGCATTATTAAAAACGAATGCTCTGCTTTGTTAAATGCATACATACCATTAACTTTTGTTTGCTGAAAATACATAGAACATCTAGAAATTTCAAATAATTGCATAAACTAGAAATTATGTATAATATAATATAGCAGAATATAAATTACTGTGTCTGTTTTGCCTTTTAAAACATTGAAATAGCTGGACATGGTGGGGCACACATGTGGTACCAGCACTTTGAGAGGCTGAGGCAAGAGGATTCCAAGTTTGAGTCCAGCCTGAGTGACCATCTCAAAATAAAAGTTAAAAAAAAATGTAGCTCAATGCGAAACCCCTGAGTTCAATTCCCAGTGCCACAAAATAAAAAGATGGCAGAGATGATTCCATTAGGCAGCACACACTGTGGGACCTGTGTGAGGAACATGAAAGTATTTCTCACTGGAAACCACAAACTTACAGCAGCCATTCAGGCTCGGTAACCTATTTTGCAGGAAATACAGAGAAGTTTTGCTTTTTGCTTACTCTTACAGTCCCATGTAATCATATTTAGCCAACCTTGGTTAAGACCCAGAGGATGGAGAGGTGCGAAGGCGATGGTGGTATAGCCACCTGCATTTGAGGGTGGGATGAGATGTTTCAGGGATAAGAGGCTCAAAGGTCTGCAGGGGCTCCTGGCCCACTGGGGACACTAACGTGTCCCACCAGGGCGCCTTCACAACACCATTCAGCTAAGACACGAGGCAGCACCGTGCCTTTGGATGTGGACCGCTGGAGAGGAGTCCCAGCTGGAGTGGACTGGGCAGGCATCAAAGGTCGGCTGCTGTAGAAGTCCTTGAGGATTGGTGTACACGGTCAAATGTAGGGACTCGGGCGCCTTTCTCCTTTGTAGTTCAGAGCATGTCAGACACCACCTCACCCAGTCCGACCACCGGGAGCTTCTTCCGTTCCCGCTTCCCCTTCCTCCTCCTCCACTAGTGTACAGCCCACGAGCGGGGACGGGGGTTGGCCGGTTTAAGGCTCGATTTACAAACACAACAGAACTTCGGTTCAGTCTGTTTTCTCTGGTTACTGCAGGCAGAAGTTGATGGTGGCAGGTACCTACTCCTGGCAGAGCCGCGATAAAACACCCCAGACAGTAGAGGGCTGCACAGAAGGAGGAATGGGTTCCGGATGGGCAGAGGTGCCACAGGGCCGCGGGATCGAGGACACTGCTTTGTGTCGTGAACCTTACCCGACAAATAAAAGGATCCTCAGCGAATTAAATTCTCTTTCTTTCCGTCCCGCTCGTACTGCACCTTCCGGCTGACTTCCGCTGTTCCCTGCAGACGCCGAAGGAGCCTTTCGTACAGCACCGGCCGTGGCTTTGCGCGCCCGCCGACCGCGAGAGGCCCTACCCAAGCCCCGCCTCCTGCCCCGGCCCCGCCTCCCAAGCTGGCCCCGCCCGCGCCCAGGGTGCACCTGGTTGAAAACAAAATACCACGTGACTGACCCTGCGCGCCGATCGTCATGGCGTCTCCCAGTGGGAAGGGCGCTCTGGCGTCCGACGTTGCTGGCTGTGGGCTCCGGCCACTGGCCCGGGACCTGGAGGACTCCGTGGATGATGCCGAGGGGCTGTACGTGGCGGTCGAGCGGTGTCCGCTGTGCAATACCACCCGCCGGCGGCTGACTTGCGCCAAGTGCGTTCAGAGCGGCGATTTCGTTTACTTCGACGGCCGCGACCGGGAGAGGTACGGAGGCTCCCGCGGCCCTATTGTTTCTTGTCTTCCGTCTCTTCTCGTCGGATGACCAAAAGGCTGAAACTTGGGGACTCCCTGTCGTGACTCCTGAGCCCAAACCGAGAGTCACTGGTCTGCGTCGGTGCCTTGCTGCCTGTGGCCGGGTTTGGGATGGGATTCCAGTTGAGAGAAGGTGCTGTTTATTCCCTTATCCACCTGAGAGGACTTCTTGGGTCTATGTTTTGTGGAAACAGAGGAAAAGGACTAGATGCCGATTTAGGCGAAGTCTTTCCCCGTTAGTGTTTATAGTTCCATTCTTAGTTCTGTGTTGTCTCATTGAAAGCTGGGTTTAAGCTTTGTTTTGTTTTGCTTTATTTTTTTGTTTTTTGTTTTTTAGAGGAGGTTCGCTATGCAGTTCTGACTGGCCTTAAATTCACTTTGTAGCCCAGGCTGGCCTTGAACTCTCAGAGATCCTCCTGCCTCTGCCTCCCGATTACTGGGATTAGAGGCTTGAGCCATCATGCTGCGCAACTCTTCTGTTTTTGAAAACAATCAGAATGATTCTCTTGGGACCAGGAGGTACTCCAGTAGTGATTAGCTAAGAGGGATTTGGCCCTTCATAGACTTTGTCTCAGGTAGACCTTGTTCTAAGACGTGATCACTAATTTGTGACCAGGGACTAGTTGGTTAGTTCCTTTTCCCCTGTCTGCTTCCAAAGATTATGCTTGAATGTTTATTTGGGAAGTGTCTTGGTTTTCTTTAAAAATTCAAATGGCGAGCTATATTTCTTTAGTTAAGAGAACTGTATTTAGGAACGTGATTTGGACTTTGTTTTTAACAAGCTCTCCCTATAAAGCCCCTGCTAAACCATGAACCTCCTGCCTCAGGCTTCCGAGTGGTAGGATCGCAAAAGAATTGAACAAGAAACTAGTGATTAGTTGCAGACTTCCCTGTTTCAGCAGTTTAGTTTCTTTGTTTATTGTGGTACTGGATTGAACCCAGCGTTTTTAGCTTAACGATATACCCACCCCTAGTAAGTGTAGTGATTCAAATAAAAATCCAGACAGTTTGGATTCAAGTACCCACTCTAGATTTGGGAATGTTTTAATAATTTTGTGTTCATAAGCAGTGTTCTTTGTATTTTTGGAAATTTTTATAGCACTCTTTTGTTCATTGCTTTGCCTCATTAATGGGCCTGATGACTTCAGGAATTGCTATTATAATATAAAAATCAAGCCAGGTTGTTTCATTATAAGAATCTAGGTATGAGAAGTGTCAAACTGTAAGAATTTATCCAGGATTAGGTTCTGGATCTTCCATTTACATTTTTTCGTAGGTTTGTTTGATTATTTAATTTATTTTGAGATAGAGTCTTGCTGTGTAGCCCAAACTGGCCCCAAACTCCTGCTTAGCCTCTTGAGTGCTAGGATTATAGGTGTGTCACACCCGGTTTGTTGATTTTTTTCTTAGGGCCATTGTAACTAACCTCATTAACAAATCCTGTCCACTCTTTGAAACCCAATTCTTTCACTATCCCTAGTCTGATGCCCATCAGATTATTGCTCCTTGCTCTCTGCTTTCACTCTTGCTTTCTGTTAGTGTAATTCTCGTATTGTCAGCCTAACACCCCTCTTTCATTTTTTGGTTCAGGTCTTCCAGTGCTTTTCCATCTTACTCAAAGCAAAAGCCAAACTTCTAATCAAGTTCTGTATAATGTGCTCTTTTTTTGGCTTTTTTGAGACGGGGTCTTGCTATGCAGTTCAGGCTGGCCTTGAGCTCACCTTGTATAACCCAGGCTGGTCTCGAATTCCCAAGGATCCTCCCACTTCAGCCTCCCCAGTGCTGGGATTACAGGCATGAGCCACCACACCCGACTATGTGTTCCTTTTTCTATCTAATCTCATGTTTTCTCTCCCTCCTGCTCTGCTACACCAATTTGGCCTTCTTTCAGTCCAGGAACACTCCTGCTTTAGGGCCTTTTGACAATGACAATGACTCTTCTAGCTTTGGGGTGCCTCCTTTGCTCTTGTTAGGCCTTTGCTTATGCATTACAGAAGGTCTTTTCAAGTTTTCAGTTAAAATAGTAAGCATCCTACTTAACTTGCTTTATATTATCTAGCCATTTACCACTGTCTGGTTTACAGATTAGTTTGTTGAACTACTTATTCCTGACTGCAGTGATGCAAACTCCGAGAACAGACCTGGTTTTGTACACTGTTGTATCCTAGCAGTAGAAGCTCAAAAGATTTATGGAATGACTGAATGAATCTGTGCCTCCTTCACAGACTGGACTATTTCAGTATCATTCATCATGATTCAGTTAGTATTAAAGGTAGAAACCTGAGAATTACCTTCAATTTTTCCTTTTATTTTCTGCATATAAATCATCCAGTTTGATTCACTCTGACACCAAAATATAATTTGAATGTATCTACTTCTAATGCAGGCCAATGCCATTTCAGTCTGACTTCTTAGTGATCTCTTTTCTTTTACTCAGATACTCTCTTCCTGCTGCCTTTGTCATCTGTGAAGCAACCTCAGTAGAACTGTAAATGAGAAGCCAGGCTTTGTATTATGAACCTGTAATCTCACAGAGATTGAGAGATTGGGAGATTGAGGCAGAGGAATCAAATTTGGATCCCAGGCCAGGTGACTTTGTAAGACCATGTCCCAGAATAAAAGGGGCTGGAGATGTAGCTTCATGTAGACACCCTGGAACAATCCTCAGTGCTGAAACAGCCACAACAACAAAAACAAACAAACAAAACAAAAAGTGAGCTTTGGATACATGCTGCATTGACTTGAATCCAAGTTTCACAACTTGCTAATGTGATTTTGAAATAGTTTCTTAACCTCTTAGGCTTATGTCATTTTGGAAATAACAGGGTTATGGCTTCAGAGGTTTCTGATAGTGCTTATGTAAGAGTATGTAAGAGTAAGCATTTAAAGTGCTTTGCCGGGTGCCCAGCATCTATTGAACATTCAAAAAATAAACTCATGGCATGCTGGATCATTGTTAGCCTTACCTCAAATCCTCAAACATAGGCAATGTTTCACCACTGAACCTTTCTTGTTTGCTTTGCCTGGAACACTTTTTCATTTGATGGGTACTTTTATCATTCACATGTGTACTTGAATGTCACTTTCTCAGTGAGGCCTTCCCTGATCTGCCTCACTAAAGTATATTATTCCTACCTCCATTATTTGCTGTCACAGTGCTCAATTTATTTCTGTCATGGTGCTAAGCATGATGTGTAATGTTATTGTTATAGGAAAATATCCACATCTAGAATAGAGCTGGCTTTTGGTTTTGTTCTATCATAACACCAGCGCAGCAGCAGGGCAGAAGGTAGCACCTAGCAATATTGTTGAAGGAATAGCCAAGCAGTGTCTTTTAAAACTTACAGAAAAATTCTGTGAGAAATTTGAGCATTGAGGTGACTTTTCAGAAGCAAGATACGTTACTGTGGATTTCTTTCTTGACCAAGCAGAAAAGTGAAAAACAAAGACATGAATCATTCACAATTTAGAAATAAAAAAGAAATCTTGGGAGTTTGGTTCAGGGATAAAAGGACTATATAATGGTACGTTCAGAAATGGTGTGCTCAGTCACCCTTACCAATCTTTTTTTTTTTCTGAACTGTGTGCACCTGCAAGAAAGGAGTTTGTCAGAACCAGGGATGTAGTTAAGTGGTAGCGAACTTGCTCAGGATGCATGAGGCCCTGAGTTCAGTCCCCAGTGCCCTGGAGTAGTGGTGGTAGTTTTTGTTTATTTTCAGAACATCATTTGGCCCAGTGTCTAGGACAGTGAAAGATTTGAGAGACATAGCTCCATGTCCTAATGGTCAAAATACTTTTTAATAGGCTTTCATTAGGTACTGTTACATGTGGAGGTTATTCTGGCAGGTTACAGAAAGGCTGTTCTCTGTGCTGAGAAATTACATTGGCAGTAGGCTTTTTGAATTCTTGGGCCAATGGTTGATTGTTAGCTCTGCTGCTGTCTTTATCATTTATGAAAAATACTGTATTCTGTGCCTGCTTTCATACTTTTTGCTTTTAACTTAATGAAAAGACTCACTGTAGGAAACATTTTCATTTTTTAACCTGTTTGCTTTTTAAGGGAAGAAGAACAGGAATAGTACTAAGCAGTACTCTGAGAATAAGCTTTGGACATAGTATTCATTGTGAGATAGTTTAAAATTACAAGCCTCTTAAAAGGAGTATAATTTTGTGTATTACACATTTATCCAACACCAAGATGGCACTGTTATACAATATACAGCTGACAAATTGAGTAATCTTGCCATTCAAAAGTGGAAATTGGTTATCAGTTTGTTATAGGTAGAGGAATGGGCCTGGGAACATGTTCTAAAGGAAACCCAGAAAAATACACTTACTGGTGTAGGAGCCAGTGATTTTCAAGTATAGAAGAAAAGACACATTTTGCTTTTATATGAATACATGTTCAGGAATGATACTGAATTGTAACTTTAAAAATATAAGATTGTAATTTTCCACAAAACTGAAATACAGGCCCTTAACTACACTGAAAAATGGTGGGTGATTTAGGTAGCTCTCCTGGGCAGGGCTCAGCTAAGACCCAAGAAATATCCTTTTAGATATATCTGTTTCCCTTCCCGAATCTTTGGTTTTCAGGCACTGTGGCCTATGAAAACTACCTAGAGAGTTCAGTTCTGTAAGTTGTGCTCTGTAGAACAAAAGCCCCATGGGAGACCAGATGCACCCCATCTTTAGAAAGAGTCTGTCAGCCTCCATACTGTTTCATTATGTCCTCTGAAAGGGTTTTAGCAGTGTCCATTCATGCAGCTTATTAGTAGCATTGCCACCAACGGATATGGATATGCTAAGAAAATAGAGCTTTTTCAGTCAGCATCCTTGGAGAACTCTTTCCATTTATTTTGTAGAATTTATAAAAGGTTTTCACATTGACTGTTACCCTTTTGTACTACAACTCCTTGAGTTAGGAATCTGTTTTGAAGATGAGGAAAATG